TTTTTAGTGCATAGAGGCATCCAACTATGAAAATTCATAAGTTGTCTGTTCCATGTGACTTTTTCTGTGGATAAACCTTTCAAGTAATCGATTTTCTTATCTTGGTAACTGCACATTTGAAAAGGATATCCAAGAATTAAGTTCCTTTTCTAATGTGAACCTAATTGAAGGGTGGTAGTTATCAACTTGAGACAGGATATCTTTCAGATTATCTATACTGCTGGAGATGATGAAGGTATTATCCACGTATTACTTATAAAGTTCGAACCGGTTGATTACTCTGCTTAGGTGAGTGTGGTGAACCCATAAGTATTCCATCTTTTTGTCTGTGTATTTCATTATTGAAAGGAAGGTGGATCTCAACAACAGCTCCTTCAAATAATGTGTAGATATTTCAAAATTCAGTCGATTAGAATCAATATGGTAGTATATGTAACAGGATAATTCCAGTCAGTATTATTATTACTTGTCCCTTGGGTTCCTAGTGGAACATAGGGCTTCAGTGGCACATCTCCAGTGCACTCTGTTCTCTGCAATCTTTTGAACCTGACTCTAAGACAGCCCACAACTTCTCATTTCTTCCTCACACGATCTCCTCCACGTCACCTTCCGACGCCCAACTCGTCGTTTCCTCTCTGCATTCCACTCGACGATGTCCCCGAATGGCCTTCTCAGTGTATGCCTAACTCAATCCATCTCCACTTCCTTCTACTGCATATTTGTTGAGTGATAGGTTCTTGGTTGGTTCGTTCCCAGAGCTCCTTGTTACTTGTTCTTATTATTCGGGCCATCTGATCTTGAGTATCGAGCCAGCGTAGGCAGCTGTTGATGAATGTCTGTAGTTTGTTGGAAGTGCTTTGCGTAAACCGCCAAGTTTCTGAACCATATCGAAGCACTGACTTGAGGTTGGTGTTGAAAATCCACATATTGTTCACGCTTTATGCTGAGTGAAGTAGATCTCCACACTGGTTTCAGGTTAATGAAAGCCTGTCTTGCTTTTCCCATCCTCGTTTAACATCTTCGTCTGTGCCGCCACTACCTGTAGTCGAAACTGTGCTGCCCTGCTTAGGTAGGTGAAAGAGGCTAGTCCCTTTAGGTTTCTCCCGTTGGTGGTGATTGGAGCTTGTTGTTGGTGGTGGTATTGTTGGTTGGGTATTTTCATCACCTCTGTCACGCAATTAATCGTATTGATACCATTAGCTCTCGTATTGTTGAGTTAGTACGAAATATATCCACGAGAAATCATGCTTTTTATGAGTTATCCACTGATGAACGCAAACAGTTCGAGGAATATGTCATTACAGTCGCAGAAAATCAGTCTCAGTCGGCCAATCTTAAACACTCCGATGGTTTGATCGAGTTTTTTTTATCCGTGATACATTTCAGTTTGTTGAGGGTATTAAGGATTTTAATGCTCTAAACAAGATGATGTTTTCATTAGACGTCACTTCATTGTTCACGAGTGTGCCACTCACCGAAACTGTCTGTTATGTATGTGACTATATTGATGCACATAATTTAGACGTAGGACTACCAACGAGCTGCTTGAAAGAGCTTTTGTTGAGGTGCACATTTAATGTCCAATTCAGTTTCAATAATGAAATCTATAGACAGAAAGATGGAATTGCGATGGGGTCACCATTGGGACCACTGCTAGCAGATTTCTTCATGTCGAAACTGGAAAATTCACAACTTCGTCAAACTATTGATAGCTTTGACTTTTATAGAAGATATATGGACGACACGTTTGTTATTTGCGACAAAAATGTAGACCTCGACGATGTGCTTCGTTCATTCAATGAATGTCATCAAGCCCTCAAGTTTACTATAGAGAAGGAATCAGAATCAACTATTCCTTTTCTTGATGTGCTTCTCACCCGACGTCAGAATGGATACCTTAAAAGATCCATCTACAGAAAACCAACGTGGAACGGACAACTAACTAATTTTTATAGTTGGGTGCCCATCAACAGAAAAAGAAATCTTATTCACTCTCTTTGCTATCGAATAAGAAGTATCTGTAGTGACGATTGTATCGATGAAGAGCTATCTTTTTTAAAAAGCATACTTGTCGAAAACGGTTACCCTAGCCGTTTTATTGATAAAAATATGCGGGAAAGAAACACTAAACCAGTCATCCACTCGGTCTCAAAGAAAAGATTGTTTATGAGCCTAGAGTTTAAAGGAGACCTAGCATCGGATGTACTGAAGAATCGTCTTACCAGATCAATCAATAGGACTTTCTTCGCAGCAAGACTCCAGTTGACTTTTACCAGCCACAACCTATTCTCCACCTGCGGTAAAGACAAGCTTCCTCGTTTGGCCGCCTCTATGTGCATCTACCAGTTCACCTGCTCTTGTGGAGCAAGGTACATCGGCCGTAGCCAGAGAATGCTTTCTACACGTATACGAGAACATGTTCCTGCTTGGTTTTATAAAGGTGAAAGAAAGTCTGTTAGAAGTTCGATTCTAGAACATTTGATTGACTTCCATCACACAACAAATCCAGACGATGACTTTGAAATTATTTATCAAATTCGCCCAAACCTCCCACGTTCTCTTCGTTTTCAACTCCTTAAAACAGCGGAGGCTTTAGCTATTCATGAACTAAGACCTGATCTGTGTGTACAAAAGAAGTATGTGCAGTCACTGTCTTTATCATGGCCATAACATTTCCCCACCCCATTAGCTCCCCCTCCCACTTTGTTAATTTAACCTTTGTATCCTTCCTTTATCACTATTATTGTTATTATAATCGCCTTCACTTCAACTAGTTTCCGGTGTTATTTCACTTAATTGTCTTAATCCTTTTAGAAAACATTGACTTCATCTTGTCCAATTTGTCTAATGCCATTACATAATACTTAATTGATTTACCATTTTCAACAATTTTTTCACCCCCTTCTGAGTTATATACTCTCTATGTACCATTCCATATATTACATAATCTATTTGTTATCATTCGCACTTCAATTGTTATTATAATCATAAATGCCTATGTCATCACCCGCTCTATTATTATTGTCATCACCATATAGTGTTTAGTTTTCCTCACAGGATATAATTTTTTCCAAATACCATATATATACGATTGTACAGCTTGAAAATAAATTCGTTAAAAAGAGTCTCTTCGCTGAATATCTTGTTTTTTCTCCATATTCACTTGAAGTCCCGTCTTCGCCACCCTGCCTTTTCTGTCAACTTGTTAGTTTTTGCCTATAGATCTTCAAGTTTATGTGACATCAGACACAAGTCATCGGCGAAATCTAAATCTCCTAGGATATTTTCCCCGGTCAAACAGCGTATCCCCCTCTTCTCGCTCCTAACTGTCTGCTGTATGATCTAGTCCACTACAATCAAGATCATGGGTGATAGTAGGCGGTAACCTTGTCTAACTCCTGTCTTCTATGCTCTGTTCTATGATGATGCCTAGCGTTGCGATTTGGTCCGCACATGATTTGTATTTCCTGAAGCCAGCTAGCCAGCCTGTTCTGGTCATAGTTTCTAATCCAGCGCATTCTTTAGTCTCTCTGGGATAATGCAGCATAATATTTTGCTTGGGGTGGAGCATAATTTTATGAAGTGAGACTTACTTTCATATAGGCTCCAAGATTTTGACTAACAGTGTTAAGGTGATCCTGTCATGTCGAGAAATGGGTCCGTACAGTCGGGGGATATGTGGCCCAGATAGTAGTAGGGATTCAAATGATTGGGAATCTATGAAAGAATCAGTCACGAGTCGGTTAGTTGTTTTTCAGTTTTCTGCATCTTATTCTTCTCACTGATTAGTTTTTATAAACATTGTCTCATCAATACAACTCACATCCTTTTATAAGAACCTACCATTATAATCTCCTTGTCGTTCCTCGATTCTCTGACCTCTTCTTAGTTTTTCTTCGTCAGTATGAGCTGACTGTTTAACTTTATAACTTAACTTATAAGGTTTTCGAATTACACCTGTGTATGAAGTTTATTAATGCTTGATAAACTTAGTACAAAATTTATTACCAACGGAGTAGTGCTCCCAGTTGAACTGTCGACAACTGAATATCTGATAAACTGAAAACTTATGTGATTTTCTTGAAAACTATCTTGTAGTAGACATCAGTACTTTCAAACTGTTTAATAATTCGAACTTAATCATATTACGCTATTTCTCTGGTATTTCCATGACATAATCTTCGAGAGATGGACATAAACCCGTCCGCGGATAATTATAATCGCTTTATTCCAAACAACATGTATGATACACTGTGGAATTTTTTCAGCATGGAATATTTCAACAAGTTCTTTTTCTGTTGGATATTTCCAAAAGAAATAATTTAGAAGTAGTATTCATAAAGGACTGAAATCAATTGAGGAACCATTGAAAATTTTGGAGCACTGGACAACTGTTTCGTCCTAGAATAGGACTCCTCAGCAGTACGCACCTATGACCCCATTCATCTCAAAAAGAAATAATTATTACATTTTCATGGTGTTAATAATAATAATATTGAAGACATAAATGTGAAACAGCCAACCAATGTTACATTAACATCTGTTCTCGACTCAGAAATTAACACAAAATCGAGTGTAATTGCGATGGTGGTAGTTCGGTTAGTCAGTAAGCTAGCACAGAAATTCACAATCCCATACAAGTAGATATCCTAAGAAATAGGAATGTGGTATGTAGTTGAGTATTTACAAATCCATTTCCAACTGGTGGAACGTTTTTCTCCTTTATCTTTTGTTCTTAGCTTGAGAAACCAAAGTTTGAAAACATTCTAAAAACGTGCTAGAGTACATGAGATGCCTTTAGAAGACATTTGAAAGATTAAAACAAATTGAAGCGGAGAAGAATTTGATGGAATGTTTATTGATAGTTCAAGATTTAAGCAGGTAGCAGCAGCAGCAGCAACACTCCGGAAACTTTTGAATATTATTATCGTCATTATTATTATTATTATTATTGTTATTATTATTGTCATTCACTGGTGATTTTCCATTTTCATTTTCAGAAAAGACTATCAGATGTTGAAGTGAAATTGCAACTTTTGAATTCATTACCAAATAATCAAGATATTATTGGTTCAATTTTCAATGACAGTGAGAATAACAGCAACAATACCAATACTATAAATCGTAATATTAATGAGGATAAACGGGATAATTCAGGAATCAGTTCATTGAATGATTCAATTATTGATCGGAAAGTTGCCAATTTATGGCAATCTGTACAAACAAGTAAACGGTTAGATGCTACAGAAGAAGGTCTTCATCGTGTAAGTTCCTTTCAAGTGGATGTATATGTGTGTCTTCTACAAAGAAAGTCCTTGAATGCTAGCTGGTAGAGGAATTATGCATGTGATCCATGATTTTGTTTAAAGCCTTTCGTCGAAATGAACTTGTCTAAGGGTTTGTGTATTATGAAGAAACAGAGTTCACTGTTCACCACTTCAGAGAAAAAGATGCCATACGTCAAGTTACCTATCTATACCGGCTATCTTTCATGCAGTATGCATCTAAATGGTCTATTGAGTTAAACTCTTGTATTCTGGTCATTGAATGTTATGATAAGTCAAAATCTAGACTATGATCGTATACGTCGAATATATGTTGAATTGTTTACAGTAGACAAATGAAATCTGATTGAAGAGTTGTTTCCTGAGGATACTTGGAGTATTTCTTGCTCTTTTGGGTGGAGCTCATCAGTAGAGGTATTATTATTATTATTTGTCCCTTGGGTTCCTAGTCGAACATAGAGCTTCAGTAGCACGTCTCCGTTTCACTCTCTTCTCTGCACTCTTTTCAACCTGGCTGCACAACAGCACACAAACTTTCATTTTTTCCTCACACCATCTCCTCCATGTCATCCTCAACTCGCACACCCAACTCGTCGTTCCCCATTTCGCTTCCACTCGACGACCCGGCGTGGTCTCGCCAAGTCTAGCTTGATACGTCATATCCCAAAACCGTCTTCTCTGTATATTTCCAACCCAATGCATCTCCACTCTCTTCTACTACATATTTGTAGGGCCATAGGTTCTCGGTTGGTTGGTTCGTTGCCTGCTAGCCAGAGTGAGTTCGTCTTTGATTGTTCTTATTATTCTGGCCATCTCATCCCCATCTTAAGTGTCTGTATCCAGTGAGTGTAGGCGGCAGCTCTGAATGTATGTATGTATGTATGTATGTATGTATGTATGTATGTATGTATGTATGTATGTATGTATGTATGTATGTATGTATGTATGTGTGTTCAGTCTGTTGGAAATGCTTTTCGTAACACTCCAACTCTCTCAACCACATAGTATAGAAGCAGTGACTGACTTGACTGACATTAGTGTTGAGAATCCGGATGTTGTTCACACTTTATACTGAGTGGAATACGTACAGTCGAGTGGAGTGGAGTAGATCTCCACACTGATTATTTGAGATGATGAAATCGTTTCTTTCTGTCTTTTCGATCGTGGCTTTGTTATCTTATTATATGCTGCCCTGCTTATTTAGGTGAAAGAGATGCCTTTGTTTAGATTTCTCCGATTGATGGTGATTAGCTCTTGTTCTTGTTGTTGGTTGGGTATCTTCATCGCCTCTGCCTTCTGTGTGTTCAGGTGAAGAAAGTCTCGTCTTCCTTCTCTGCCTCACTTCTTCTCTTAACTTGTTAGTTTTTGCCTGTAGATTTTGGAGTTTGTGCTGCAAGACATTAGACATAAATCGTCATCATTGGCGGCGTAATCCAAATCTTCTTCTAGGGTCTTATCACCGGTCTAGTCAGCGTATGCCCATCTTCTTGCTCTTCACAATTTAGTGCATGATCCAGTTTGGTCGATCATAAACAGGAAGATCATCGGTGATAGTAGACGACGTTGTCTTACTCCTGTCTTCGCCTCAAAGGCATCACTGAGCTTTCCATTGTGAATCACTTTGCATATGGCATCTGGCAGCATATAGTTGCTGTTGAATGAGGTTGGTAAGGTTTTATGGCACTAAAATCGTAGAGTTGAAGCAGTTGGCATATTACTAGTCGGTTGACGCTATCGAAGGCCTTTTCAAAATCGATGAAGTTGAGGTAGAGAGTTGACTGCTATTCTATGCATCACTGGGGGTACCAGGACCAGTTTCAAATCACGTGACTCAGGCTAGGTGACTTGCACGGACTGGTACACTTAAAATAGGACGGTTGATTTACGAATGATCTACGAAAGAGACAGATTGGCCTTCAGTGATTAGATCATTCTGATCTGGCCGACGAAACCTATCGATCAGCCCAAGTGGTTTTTAACTACTCAAGTTGTTCAACAATAATTTGTTTCTCTAGTTCATGACGCTTTTTTTTGTCACAAATTACACCTTGTGATCTTTGTTGATGAGTGGTTACCAGAGAAAAGGTTGTTGCCAACAAAGTCGGGCAGTTGACAAACCAATGAGATGTGTGAAATGTCAGCGTACAGCGTGCAATTCGTAAATCTGGAGTGACTATAAAAGTATTCTCCGTTAACTGGGCTTGTTTTTAAGCTATGCAAATACATTTTATAATGGCGGTACATGATGAAAACTCATGGAAAAGAATAACTTTCGTTCAGATATTTGTAAATTATCGTTATGAGAATCTTTAAGTGTTGTAAATTAATATATCAAAATGTGAAATTGAAGGCTAAGGGCTGTATGGAATAGCTTGTTACTCGGAGAGATATCGTTGAACACAATTGTTACGGGTATTTAAAGTTTACTTACGCTAAATGAACTCTAGTTGAACTGAACTATCAGTCTGAAAATAAACTATAGCAGTTAGAAGGGCCAATGGTATTCCAGATAATTATTCAACCAATCAGCAGTCAGTATGGTTAAGAATATAAATGGGTTTCACTATGATTGGTCACTTTGAAATTTGAAAAATCAATAAGTGTAATGCTGTAATGTGTGGCAGCTAAGGCATAAAAATTGTTTAGTTATTATTGAAACATGCATTCGCAGTTGTATCATCTCGTTTCATTGGTTAAAAACTTCTATAGGGCACAATAAATTTCGAAGGTCAAATACCTGGTGAATCATGTTAGAAAAAATCAAGGTCACTCGATTTCTAACAAAAAACAAATGGATGCAAATTGTATAGTGGTGTAATGTACTAAATTACTAATGTATCAGCCAAGTTCATACCATTTTCTTCATTAATTTATGTGTTGACTTTTTATTGAAATTTCCGTGTGGTATACTGAGTGAAATTGCTTGGCATCACATGACAGATGGGTACCTATGTGGATCTCAGGATATTGTCCCAATGTTTATTATGTTGTGTTGTACTTGATGTCTAGCAGTAGGATTATGTAGGCACGTTTCGTCCTGTTTGGAACTGGTCAGTTGGATGTGCCCGTAACCCAATGAGTGGTGTTGTTCCCAAGTTTCTGAATCCAGTAGGCATCATTTCACATGCCAAAATGTTATCCACTAGTCCACTGAACCATGATTAATAGGGTGATTATGGTGAAACATATTTCTCTGAGGTACTTTAGTACTATAGATCATATGCACAGTTCATCGTTATCATTCAATGGCAGTATGAAAAGTTTGAAACGGAAATAGACATACACTTGCCCTTTTTCAGGTGCCTTTTTCAGTCTGTTAACTCATTGATATTCAAATCATGAAGTTCTAATGATTTATCAGTAGTAGTTTCAAACATTTTCAAATTTATGAAAATACTCATCATTGGATTATCCGTTTTCTTTATTTTTCCATTTCTAGTTAAGTTCATTAACCGATGATCTACTTGAACAAATAAGAAAACTTTCAGAACAAAATAAAACATTGAAAGCAGCACTTGATGAGGTAAATTTACAATAATTATCATTGAAACCCGCTTTTTTCATGAAAATAGGTACTAAAAGGTATGTATACAAACTGGTAGTATTATTTACCTTCACAGGACGTAATTAAGATCTTTATCGCTGAGTTGTAGTGCATAATATACTGGACAGAAAATGAAAACATACAAATAGGAAGCTAACACAGTCGAATGGATACTTGCATTTCACATCATATCAACCAATATTCTTCAACAATCGATTCACCATCAATTCCAACCTATCACATCACACGTTTGACCAGTTAGACACATAATCTAAATAAGGAAATCAAACATATTGGAGAGACAACAACCAGACTCTCGAATTGATGAAAGGCTCTACAAGGACTGACAACAAGAGGAGTGATAATGTTGGTGGTGACCACAACATCTCGAAGAGGGAATTCACACTCTCCTCTCTACTCTTGTCAATTGAACAAGGCACATTGACAGGCTTACACAAAATTCTTTACAACACCAGAAATACGCTGACATTGAATATCACAGACTCATTCACACACAAACTTTGTATTACTCAGAGATCCAGTACAGTCAATTGGGAAAACATAGTTTCACCTATCAAATACCATGCAATCATTGTGAAGTCAAGTATATAGGCTAGAGGAGTGGATTGGGATCATTCGAAGTGGTGGAGAAGAGGAATTTATCGAACGAAACATACAATGGTAGATCCTACTAAGATAAGCATTTCTCATCAAATCTCGGCTATCACTCCACATACACTGACCCATAAACACGTCATACGGTGGGATAGACTGACACTTCTACAATCCAGTATAACTAGGTGGAAGGAGTCCAGGAAATCAACCAGCACCTAACACTCATGTAACAGGAATGAGTCATCATATTCTGCAGATATCTGGAAAATGTTACTGCTATTAAAATGATTGTATGGAGGGAGAAGTGTTTGATTATGGAATGGGAATTTGAACAGTGTTCAGTTGCTTTGATATGAATCTGAGCAATAAATTCTGCTCGGAACGTCATCCACTAAAAATAGTAGTGTATGACTATGTCATACATCAATACTTGTTTTTACAATTTACAGGATCAGTCTACCCACTCCTATTCTCCCCAAAAGAATAATCTCATGATTGATGAGAACAGAACCTGGAAAGAATTGATATACTTTAAAGAAAGCCATTGATGAACTGAGAAAAGACGTTGATTTATTGGTTGTATTGTGTTCTGTCAGCTGGGTTCTTAAGTCGTGGAGCTTTCATAATCTTCCTAGACAACATCATCACCATTAACTTCAGTGTGTAGTGAGCTATCAGTATCTGTCCACGAGTGATTTAGTAGCTTGTTCTGACGATGTGGTCTGTGATTGGTTGTTTCCTTCAATTATTGTGTCATTGATTGTATAGACTTTCTTGTTGGCTGTTTGTTCCTCTGCTTCACCTCTGGCCTTTGTGTAATTTATCATCTTTCTTATTGGTTGATAGATTGGGTCTATGTCCATCTCTATACATCTGTTGATTGCTGACTGACCTGAATGCTAAACTTCTAGGAATTCTCTGATATTCTCTGTGTTTCCTAACTCTGTCCAACATTTCTACATTGTCCAAATTGAATTCATGTCCATAGTTGTTATCCACGTGGATTGAAATGACTGATGAAATGTCGTGTATGATGTATAATAGGTAGTCGGTGTTCATGTAGATGAAGGTGAAGGTGAGGGACCACTTTGTCCAATATAGTGTTGACTACAGTTAAATGTTGCAGTTGATTTTGTAGATGATATTCGGTTTGTGTTTTTTGGTTGTTGCATTGCTTAGTCTGCATAATAGTACTGAAAATGTCGTCTAGCAAGGCGATGGAAGCTTCACGATTAAACAACCCAGCTAGCTCATAGAACATAATACAACCAATAAATTCAGCTGGAAATGTTATGAATCAAATAACAGAATATCACTTGTTAGTATATCAAATAATCAAGTCTATATGTAATTATACTCTGATATTCTGCCGAAGTTTTATTCTGACATTAGACTAGATGAAAATGAGTGAAGATATACAAACTACTTGTAAGTAGGCAAATGTATGATCCGTAAATATTACGTGTCTAGAAACCACACGGGTTAGCTGATCTTCTTGGGATTGGAAAAGATTGATTACTCCCTAGAAGAAATCAGAGGGTTTGATTCTGAAGGATATTTTTTTGTTTTTCTTATTTTTTAGTTGAATTCCCTATTAAAGTTATTTCAGTGACATATTATTCCTCAATTTCTTCTCTTTAATCATGTGACCGTAGTGTACATATTGCATAATTTATTATCAGTGAAGCAAATACTACTGTCTCTCATCCAACTCAGTAGACTATAACTAGGTGACTTTGATTTTAATTAGTTAACTAATTAGTTAATCAAATACTAAGTAGTTTTGTTTACCTTGATGCACTCATAAGAAAGTGATGATTGTGAAAACAGTTACGTGTATGAATACTAAGTTCACGTTATGAATATGTCTGTGAAGAGAAGATAGACAGATAAATAATAACTACATTTATAATCCCCATCGTGACATCAAAAACAAGATATTCAGTGGAGGGTACTCTTTTCAACGAATTTATTCTCAACCCATTATTATTATTTGTCCCTTAGGTTCCTAGTGGGACATAGGGACTCGGTAGCACTTCTCCAGTGCACTCTGTCCTCTGAACTTTTTTGAACCTGGCTCCACGACTATCCACAAGCCCTCATTTCTTCCTCATAAGATCTACTTCATGTCATCCTTGCCTCGGACGCCCAACTCGTCGCTTCCCATCGAGGTTCCACTCGAGTGCCCTGCCTGGAGCGTGCTGTCCCCAGTCGGCCTTCCCAGGATATGGACAATCCATCTCCACTTCTTTCTACTGCATATTTGTTGAGGGATAGGTTGTTGGTTGGTTCGTTCCCAGAACGAGTTCCTTCCTGCTTATTCTTGTCATTCGGGCCATCTGATGTTCAGTAACCAGCCAGCGTAAGCAGCTGTTGATGAATGTCTGTAGTTTGTTGGAAGTGCTTTCGGTGACACGTCAAGTTTCTGAACCATATAAGAGCACTGACTTGAGGTTGGTGTTAAAAATTCGAATGTTGTTCCACATGCTAAGTGCAGTGCAGAAGATCTCCACACTGGTTTCAGGTTAATCAACGCCTGTCTTGCTGTCTTTCCTATCCTGACTGGCTTTGACGTCCTCGTCTGTGCCGCCTCCGCCTGCAATTGAAACAGGTGAAAGAGGCTGCTTCCTTTAAGTTTCTCCCATTGATGGTGATTGGAGCTTGTTGTTGTTGTTGGTTGGGTATCTTCATCACCTCTGTCTTCTCTGTATTCACTTGAAGTCGCGTCTTCACTGCCTCACCTCAACAACTATATGACATATATTTGTTGAATGAAGTTGATAAATGTTTGCGGTATTCCATAGTGTTGAAGCAGTTTCCAAATTACCTTTCGGTCGACGTTGTCAAAGGCCTTCTAAAAGTCGATGAAGTTGAGATAGAGGGTTGACTGCCATTCAGTACTCTGTTCTATGATGATGTGTAGCGTAGCGTTGCAATTTGATCAGTACATGATATACACTTCCTGAATTTAGCCTGTTCCTGTCGTAGTTTTCAATTCAGCGCATCCTTTACCTTCTCCAGGATGATGCGACCTAATATTTTGCTTGCGGTGGACAGGAGCATGATTCCGCACCAGTTCTTGCAAACACTGAGGTCTCCCTTCTTCAGGAGTTTGACAAGGTAATCCTTCTTCCAATCTGCAGGTACTTCTCAACCTATAAAACGTACATGTCATATTGAAAGACTTTAATCCTTCAGGAAGATTTTACCCTAATTAATGAGAGGTTGAAATAACAATAGTAGTGGTTATATGCTAATTCACTTGGTTATGGCTAGCAGAAGAAACCAGGATGCGTATTTCGTCCTATTTGCGACTCCTCAACTGGATGAACCTACACCGCAGTGCAGAGTGAAGTTGTTTCTACCGACACTTGAACATCCTACCTATCACTTCAAACGACAAGGCGAACAGTTGGATCCAATGAAACAACAGAGAATAACAAGTATATCAATAAATAATAATGGTGGTTATAGTTACAATAATGTGGCTAGTTGATCACATCAACGTTGAATGATAGTAAACAGGGTTATGTAAGATTTTTAAATCGTCTCCGCAGTGAAGATTATATTACAAAGTGGGTGAAAACGTGATGGTGGTGCTAGTCGGCATAAATTGAAAATGTCCTGTTAAAAGTTGTAATTATTATTAGGAAGATGAAATGAAGTAACCTGAGAAACTACTAAATGCAGAAGTGATAATATTGATAATGATGATAATCAATAAGTGAAGGTCAAGTTAGAGACAAAGACTGTGGATTCTTCCCTTTGACACAAAAGTAAATGTTGAGTTGATGAATAGCCAAGGCCTGTGCTACTTTAAGAAGTTGAAGATGGAGGAAACATGAGATGTATGAGAGAATTTGATAGACAACCTTAAATGATTTTTGGGGTTGGAATTGATGAAATGTTCAAGGATACAACTTCTGATACATTTCGTTTCATCCTTATAAAACCAGGCAGGAATATGTTTTCTTATACCTGTTGACAACAGTCTGTGACTACACAATGGATGTTCGTGGGTGAACAGGAGCAGTTGAAGTGGTAGATATACATGGATGTGACCTGTCAAGGGAGAACAATTTACGACTAGTAAAGATCAAATGAAATTTGTCTGAGAAGAATATTCTACTAATTGATCTGGGAACATGATTTCTGATGATGTTTCATGCTACATCACCTATAAAATTCCAGATTCATGAAGAAAATCTTTTTTAGAAACTGAGTTGATGACTGGTTTCGGATGTCTTTCTTGTATGTTGTTATCGATAAATCGGCTAAGATAGTCGTTTTTCCCAAGTATCTCCCTTAGAAAGTTAAGTTCAATTTGGACACATTCTAGGCTACAAATATTGCTTATTCCATAG